TAAATCAGCTAACATGCTTTTTGAGACATGATAATCATCCAACAATAACGAATTAACTAGACATAGTTACTACACCATTTATTTATTTTTTAGACAATACATATATAGTTCGTCCGCTAAGCTACCGTCAGATGTTCCATTATATATTAAACAGCTACATGATTCTAATTAGAGTAAGGTAAATAATGTATATATACAAATAAAATTCAGAATATAATTAAGATAAATTCAGAACTTCAACTCTTCATTTCATATTCATGCTTCACGTTTCAGTTTACAGTAATCATCGTGTCAGTTGTGTACCTGATATTGGAAGCAAAAGAAAAGGAAGATCAACAGAAATGCAGTAGCATACAACAACAGCAACACCCAGCAACCAGTAACAACCAGTGATAGATTTTAAAATCAAGATAAAAATCCAGCAAACCAGTGAAGTAGTGGCAAACAACCAACCAAACTCAAGGAACAAATCAAACGAAAATCCAGAGAAACCAACAACAATCAACGGGCAGAAGCAAAGGGAATCTTTTCAGATTGAAAGACTAGTTAATGTTTAACCCTTAATTTCTGAATCTGTATATCAGAATATTTAGATTGTATATCAGGTGTATACTACTCTCTCTTTAAATTTCCAGAATGTTTTATTTTATTTTATTGGAAGTCTTAATATTTTCGGAATTCCATCTCTTTTCAATCTCGCCCCCTTTATTTTGTGTCCAGCCCCCTCTATTTATAGCCAAACTCTCCTTATTTAAATTAAATCTCACTATCTTCTACCCATCCCACTTTTAATCCCACTACCATATGTATTGTTCCCCATTACTGATTAAACAAACACATTATCCCCTCCACTATATCTTGTCCCCCATGCCTACCTTAAACAATTATATTATTCCCCCACTATATTATGTCTTGTCCCCCACCATGTACTATTTTAATAGTATTTAAATATTATTTAATCTTAATGGACAGAGCACTCAAAATAAAAAATTGTTCAGATTTTCAATTAGAAAAATACCCCCTCTGAAATTACTGAAATTACCATTTTACCCCTGAAAATACTGCAATTGACCATTCTAACCCCGTCAGCTATAACCAATCCACCTAATCAATTCTAACCAAAATACAACAGCTATAACCAATTTCTAATTAAATTATATGAACAAACTTAAACTAAATGATGAACAACAAGGAAACAACTGGAATTATTTTGAATGAACAATATTTTTTAACAACAAACCTATTTTCAGATTCAACAACAATAACAAACAAGTATATTCAAATCATTGAGCTCAAATTCAAATTAAACTTAAACAAAACAAATAAACAGATTCAAATCACTAAACTCAAATAATCAATTGATCTTCAAATTAAATCCAACAACATTACAACAAAGATGCATGATTCAAACTAAATCAAAAAATTAAAAATCAAATCATAAACTCACATAAAATCACTGGATTAAAAATGAACTTCAAACAAAAAAATGAACACGAATTAAATCTAAATTAAACAATAAAGAACGGATTCAAGCGATTAAACTAACACTCTATATTAAAACTAAATCCTTTTAAATTAATAAAAAACAAACTGAAGAAATAATTAATTGAACTTCAACTTAAATCTAACAACATTATAATTAAACTAACAATTTCTACCTAAAAAATAAACAAGAAAAATGAAACAAACTGAAGAAAATAAAAAAACGATAAACACGAATTGGTTAAACCAACTAACCAGATCGGAATGACGATTAACTCGAACCAAGACTGCCAATGACCTAATGGATCTCAACTTCAACGACAACCCACCTTCTCTTTTAACCTCGACGAACTTAGAACGACAAACGATGAACAACAACGGTCTCAAACGAAAACCAAACGAAACCTTGACAGAACTTCGACGGACTTTAACCGGACTGCCTCGCTTTTCCTCCGTGTATGTGCCTGTGGTCATGGAAGCAGCAGGGTGAGTTCTTGGGTGTTCTTTGTTGGAGGTCAACAAGGCTTAGGCCATGGTGATGAAGACGAAGACGAAGTAACAGTAACAGCAGCAGCGCTGCTTGTCGCGATGGAGTTAGTGGTTTGGTTTCCATGGCGGACGGGGAGGCTGGGCTGCTGGTGGTCAGCTGGACGTGAGGGAGAAGCCAGTTGAAGATGAAGCAGCNTAACACAAAGGAAAATTGAAGCTTACCACTCGTCTTTGTGAATTATGTAAAGCTGTCGGGGATAAGTTTAAATCAAGGAAAACTCTTTCATCCGGAACCTGTCCGGCAAAAACTCCTCCAGAATAGCCACCCGATAACTGGGGGTTATCCGGAACCTGTCCGGTAACCTCATTGTTTGGAACGTCTTCGACCTTAACGTACATATTCAACATATTTATTACAAGATATTCCCGGTATTCATCCGAAGTCCTCAGAAAATCCCTCAAAATTTCATCATCGTAGATGTTTAACTCCGAGTAAAAAGCAGCCCCTTGCGGAGTGACGGAATACAGATATCTTCCGGTTACTTTAAGTATTACTGAACGTTTCCTCACACCCATTTTTTTGCATAACAACGATATCAATTTATCGCACTCTATTGTAAGTGATAATTTAACATGACCCTGTAGAGATAAACTATACCTCACAGAGTTATTCTCCATCACAACCTCACTCCCCCCTCCCAATATAATGAAACTCTTATTCTACGCTTTTCAGACATTACGAAAAAAATGCTTCAGAATTTAATAACAAGAAAAAATTGAATGGGAGTTAGAATTTTATGTGAACGAATTTTCCTAAAATCCTAACCACTTTATATAGGAAATGGCTAGCCCGGGAAATGGAATTTTTTTGCCGTATAGCATTCTTTAAATATACGCTATACACATTTAAATTATTATGTTTGTCAGTTCACTTATTGGTGGGTCCAGATTCAGGGTATAGCGTTTTTTTTGGGTGTTAACTGTATAGCGTATGAATAAAAGACGCTATACCTTAACGGCAGACGTTACCGTTAATGTAGAGCGTCTTGTTTTTGCATGCTATATATAGAAATGTATTTTTTTTAAAACACCTGTTAAGGTAATTTGAGTCCAAAAAAATAATATTTAGGTTCCGGACTCTAAAAACAAGGGCTTAAAAATACTTTTTTACTCTATCCAAACACTACAAAATAGCTTAAAAGTTATTTTGGCTTAAAAACACTTAAAATAAGCCAATCCAAACGGGAACCTAATCTTTTGGTTAAAATAGCACGTCTAACCAGTTTTTTGGACTGGTTATTTAAAAATAGCCAGCGTTTACCCAGTCAATGAAAAATAACCACTATTTTGCTGCAACAGAGACCGGTCCAACATAATATACTGGAGTTCGGTGCACCTGTATATGAATTTCCAGCATATTATGCTGGACAAGTATACTTTGCTGGCTCTAGTATAATATACTAGAGACTGGAGCACCGGTGCTCCAAACTCCAATATATTATGCTGGATCGGTATATTATACTGGAACTCCAGTATATTAGACTGGAGTTCAGTATAATATACTGGAACTCCAGTATATTATGCTGGAGTATAAGTCGGATTTTGAACAATATTTTCGTTTAGATTTATCTTTACATGAAAAGTGGCTAAATTTCGATTACTTTTGAAACTGTTGCTATTTTTGAATGACCACTTGTAAATCTGGCTATATTTGAATTTCTCCCAATCTTTTGCCGACTTGGAAGAGATATTTAGTGACTTGGGCCCTCGGCCCACGCTATTTAGGACTAGGGGTGTCATAGGTCGGGTTGGTTCGGATTTTACAATTATCAAACCAAACCAATCGTCTCGGGTTATTAAATCTAAAGACCAAACCAAACCAATAAAACTCGGATTTTTCACTCTCGATTTTCTCGAATTTTCGGGTTTTTTCGGTAAAATCTTCGTAGAACAAAACATATAAATTATGCTCAAAATATTTCTTTAATCCTAGTAAGATACAACTATATAAAGTATTTTCCAAGAAAGTAATACAAAATATGAGATGTGTCATGGCATTATCCTAAAATATTCAACAATAAAGATAATATAGTTATGTAATATAAATATTGCTAATTAAAAGCCATAATAAAAATAAACATAATCTAAAAGTACCAAGTCATGCTAAAATAAGTAGACTAATATGGGAGTATAATTACATGACTAAACGCTAAAGAAAAATAAAAATAGGTTATGCATTTTTATCTAAATTATTGCAAAACAAAAAATAGATATTCAATACATTATGTTCGTGGTATTGAATTGAATGTCTTTTGTTAGCATTAATATTGATTTGATTTTGGTATGAGCTTTTTTTTAGCATTATTTAATTTACTAATGTTAATGGTTATAAAACTTATTGGAACATTCAAAAGTTCTAAGTTCAACCTTGAAATAATACCTTAAAAGATAAATTATGAAATTTTTTAAGAAATATTTATAAATTACATCACAATAATTATATTTATACATTAAATATATCTAAAATTTCTATATATGTAATGTCGAGTTGGTTTGGTTTCGGTTTGATTTTCTTTAGCTAAAATCAAACCAAAACAATTATGATCGAATTTTTTTTCCAACACCAAACCATAATCGGATTTTTTAACTTGGTTAGACTCGGATTATCGGGACGGTGCGGTTTGCCACTTTGTTTTGTACACCCCACAATCTCTGAAAATTGATGCGCTGTTTCTTTGAAGTTTTCAAATAGAAAAAGGAAAAAGCAAATACTATCTCCTCTGCTAAGTTTCCTGTTTCTGCTGATTATCCCAATCATGTTCAAACAATTCTGGTAATATTTCTCTGTTAATCACCAATTTCTATTTCGTTTTTATTATTCCCTTGTAAAATTCTAATTATCGTTTTTCATTGTTGAATAGGGTTCATTTTACTTACTTTCTGGAATTCATCTCTTGAAAATTTGTCTTTTACCTTTTGTATGGCGGATGATATATTTCTTAATTCGTTGATAATTCGTTTATTTCTTACACTTACACTAAATCCGGGAAGGGCGTGAGTTGTGTATTAGTTTAGGGATAAGTTTAGGATTTAGAGAACATTAGTTTTAGAGAATCCTTAATTTGTTTTAAAATATGGATGATAGAGTATTTGACTAAGTTTGTGCCCAACTTGAGCGGAATAGATACGGATGATTCATAGAGTCAACTTCAACTAGTTTGAGTTGAAGCGATGAGGATGTTGTAGTTGTTAGGGATAGGATAGAGGTTCATAATGTCAGACTTTTATGGTCAGGGGCAGATGTACATTATTACTTACGGTTTAATCGAACCCAATAGTTTTGACTCAAATTCTATATATGTGTTAAATTTACTAAATATGGACAAATATTAGATTTTGAACCCAGTAACTTAAATGGAGGGTCTATTGGAAGCAGCCTCTCTACCTCTATACTTCACTAGATAGAGGTAAGGTCTACATACACACTACCCTCCGCGGACCCCACCTGTGGTAATATACTCGTTTTTTATTGTTGTTGTTGTTGTAGTAACTTAAATGTTCAGTGGGTTCAGTGGCATCCTGAACCTATAAAGTTTAAATCCTAGATGTCCCTCTGTTTTAAGGTAGCAACTTATACTTCTATATGGAATTGATTAATAGGATCATAAGCTAGTGATGACCGAGGGTCTATTGGAAGCAGCCTCTCTACCTTCGCTAGGTAGATGTAAGGTCTGCGTACACACTACCCTCCGCGGACCCCACCTGTGGTAATATACTGGTTTTTTGTTGTTATAGTAACTTAAATGTTCAGTGGGTTCAGTGGCATCCTGAACCTATAAAGTTTAAATCCTGGATGTCCCTCTATTTTAAGGTAGCAACTTATACTTCTATATGGAATTGGTTAATAGGATCATAAGCTAGTGATGACTACTGTATAGTGAGATGAACTCCAATTTTCTCCTTTATCTCCTTCTAACGGAGCATTTAGTAAGACAATGCTAGTGGTGTCTTGTATTCATTTCCTGTTCCATCTTGAGTCACTTAAGCATTCAGAAAACAGAAAATTTTTTGCATGTAATTTTGTATGTCTTTTTTACCATAAGATTTTAGTAGCTTGTATTGACTTGCATATGGGCATGGTTTGCTCTCACTAAGTAGGATGCATGAAATCAGTTTGTTATATTTAACTAATGTACCTTATGTTAATTTCCTGCAGGGGTTCTCAAGGGCAACAAGCTCAGCAACGTCCACAGGAGGGTAATAATGATCCATGGTATGCACCATCTGCAAGCAGCTCTCCCGGGTCTTCCCGTCCCGCAACTCCTAGTCCAAGCTCTTCAGGAAGCTTTGGTGCCCAAAGACCAACAGATAGGCCAAGCTCAGCATCACACGTTTCCCCTGCAGAGGCTGCATGCATTATTAATGCTTTAAAGGATAAGAGGTATGGTATCCAGTATAATGAAGTATGCACACTGTTCTCTGTACGAAGCTTCTGATTCTCATCAAATTTTCATGACTAGGAACTAGACCGGTCATGTAACCAGCTCAAAATTATAATTATACAGCTCTCTAATCCCAATAAATAATTCGGTAAACTCCTGATAAATCTTTGAAGCACTAGTTCTACCATCGTGCACTTGGAACAGAGACTTTTAATATTATTCTTTTGTAAAAGAATTTTGGCCTGTTATCTTACAGAGTCTTATGAAATTCAAGTGTTTGTGATGAACTGGAGCGCATATAGTTAAATCTGCTGTGACGGTACAGGTTCTATTATTTGATTGTAGAACCTTTAGACGTTATTAAAAACTGCAAAGTACATTATGGACAATCGATACTAATAAGGTGGGTTTTCTAGAAAAAATTGGAGTTGATTTCCAGATATTTTGGCTTTAAGAAGACAATTTGAAAACAAAACAAGAAGATGGAACATACGAGTTGATTCTCAGGCTTGCCTGATAGGGGAGAAACACCCGTATATGCATCTTGCTAAGTATGTATGCTTATTCAAAATGGAACAGTTTTCTAGTCCAAATGCCATACACGTTTTCTGGTAGAAGTTGTCCTTAGGTTTGCTTCATACTGAGAAGGATCTCGCTATGCATCTTGGTAGGCATATATAGTTTCTTTTTTGCCATTAGTTTCTGTGAACTATTGATTGAATGTTTTATGGAACCCGTTAAGTTACCAAATGCTCATATTTTAACAATGACGCAAGATAAACTGTAAGATTTTACTTTGACTTATGCAAAATTTCTTTTGCCAGCAGATAATCCTGTCTTAGAAAATATTCATGACTGAAGTTCTTCGTTTTCATGCTGGGGAGTTGGGATTGATAAGAAGAGATATCTTGTTTGTAGTGATTAAACAATTAAGTGAAGTGGTTGGGTGTCTTCCTTCATTCTGCTTTCTACTTTTAGTGTTTGATTCTTGATCTGCCGTCTTGCTAAAAATTTCAGTGTTGATGAGCTAAGGAAGCTTCTATCTGGCGACGATGTTTATCAGAACTTCTTACTTTCACTTGAGCCTGTCAAAACTCAGAATAAGGTAAGAGGTTAAGTTTTCTTTGTTGAGAATTGTTCGTGTTATGCATGATTGATCTGATCTGTTCTTATCATGCTCCACAAAATATCCGATATACCTGGTTGAATGAAAAATGGTTTCAGACAGCGGGTATATCTATGGGACAAGTATAGGAAATGATATGAATTTAGTTGTTCTACTTTTGTATGGGTTTTTTCCATAAATGGCATATTTTTTAATTTAAGATGACGCAATGCGTCGGAGTTGTTCTAGTATTTTACAATCTGGTTGAGAGTTACTGTAGAAGTTCTGTCTACTGTGCTTTATTTGTTTTCTCTAATTTCTCACTCATGCAATTTAATATCCTAAAATACTTGCAAACTGGGATGATCAATACGCATTTCTTGTTCTTTCTTCCTTTTCTTGCCACGATGAGCCATGGATCCTCTATGTACCTCTTGTCCTCCTGCTCGCTTAACACATATGAGACAAAAATTGTTACAAATAATAGTCATCTTGATATAGATTTTGCTGTAACTGGTAGTATCTCTTTTTACTTCATTTCTCCAATTGGATTTAACCCTTTTCCCCATAAATTATCTAATCAGGTCAGGGATGAGCTTCGGAATGAAACTCTGCAGCTTGCTAGTAAGTTTGGGTCACTTCTTAGTAGCTGAGATGTTTCTATCCAGTAAACCAGATAGATTTTGAATTCACTTTTTATGCAGGGGAGAATTTAGAGAAAGAACCGCGGATAATGGAGCTTAGGAATCAGGTGAGATATTACTTAATCTTTTTATTACTTCTCCCTGTTACTTTCACTTACACTTTTTAAATGACTAGTTTGACCTTTTAGCATCAAAGCATTGATTGTGAGATTTTATGTGTCCTTCCTATTTTGCTGATTACAGTGCAGAATCATCCGCACCACTGAATTGGCTGCTGCTCAAGAAAAGCTGCATGAACTGGAAAGGAGAAAAGAAGAGCTTTTGAAATTATACTCTCCTGCATCACTCCTCCATCGGTTACAAGGTAAAAATTGGAAATATATATTTTTTTGGTGGGGCGGGCCCCAGGTGTTTGGGGGTGGTGATGGTGGTGGAGGAGTTTCCTTTTGTACGGAGAAAACAACTGGAGCAAACTATAAGTAGTTACTTACACATCAGTAGAACAAGATTAGATCTTTGGTTTTGGGGAACTATGGTCTTAATGCTGCAATTTCAACAAAGTGAAGGGCCTCTTAGGAGTTCAGTCTGCATCATATTGAATTTTTAAGAAAGGATCATTTTTAAATATAGAAATAGTAGCACCCAAGTGTGTGGCCAATGAAGTGGGTTCAGAACCATGAGGTCTCAGGTTCAAATCTCAGTGGAGGCAAAAACACTTAGGTGATTTCATTTTATTTTTCCAAACATTGGTGGACAGAGTTACCCGGTGTTTGTGCTGGTGGGAGCTAGTAGGTACCCGGTGGAATTAGTCGAGAGTGCGCAAGCTGCCTTGGAGACCGCGGTTATGAAAAAGCAAAAAGAAATATAAAAGACGAATATATATAAAATTATATATACATATATTGTAAGGATTGATGCATTGGGAGCTTTCTTGACCCAACAGGTGCTGCTGCATGACAGTTCTAATGTTCTGTAGTTTACACTTTACTGTTCTGCCAAATTGCTTAAATGATTTCTGCTAAAGCTCCTGGGAACAGTCAAGTGTCAGTAGCGAATTCACTAAGTGTCATATATTTGCCTTTGTCTAAAATCTATCATAACACAGACTTGCCTTTTATATGTCACAACGCATTATTACTTGCTGCCAAAACTGTGTCCCACAGTCCTCCAGACATTGAATCCTTGGTATAGACCGAGCCGTAGCCTCAGATGTTTAGGTGACTCCATCCTACAACGTTCACACTCTAGCTCTTTTATATTACTTTCTCGAATGGTGTTACCTTGTTCTACCTTAACTAGTATGCACTTTCATATTTAACTGCTTGTAATTTACTCAATTCTCTCAATCACTTCTTCATCAAGTATTTACGATATTCCAATAAAACCGTTTTGTCCATACAAAAGCGATCTTAAGGATCTGTTGCTTGAATCTCAATTATTTATTCTTCAACAAGACTTGACGAACCCAAGTCTTTGCGTTATTGGTTGTGATTGAAGCTATAAGCGAGGTTGACATGAATCAAGAATTGTCAACATGTTATTTTCATCCGTTAGCTGTCATCACCTGGAATAGATTTGGTGTTGATATGACCTTCCTTTTACTATAATAATGAGATTTTAAATGCTTTCATAGGACTCTTTGGTTCTTAATTTGGCAATGGAACATGCCATAGTGTTATAAGTTTTATGGAATGAGACAAATTTTTTCTGCAATTTAAATTTTTACCGTAGTTGCTTACGCCTTCTTTTCAGATGCTTATGTTCATTTTGGTTGTGCTAGTTTTGGGGACAAGGGCTGGGGGGTTCACAAATTCATGGGTGACCTGTATAGACCAACAAACATTTTTCCCATTTGAGGTGTCTAGTATTTTCTTTTTTCTAACCTTGGAAGTTTATAATCTGATATGCAATAAAGCTGGCTGATAGGAGCTTAGGAACTTACATTGGTTATAGCAATCAACCATTCTTGAGAGACCAATTTGAAAGTTGCCTTGTGGTTTTCAATGGTGGGTGTAAATTAGGCGACTTGGCGATGGATTTCTAGCTTATTATATAAGGAAACAATATTAACCTGACGAAGAAAGAACCGTAAACCATAACTAACTGATGTTACTCTTGATACAGATGCCATGAATAAGACTGACAAGGAATCTGAAAGTCTACACAGACAGTTTCTTGATGGGGAAATTGATCTTACAACATTTGTGCAGAAGTACAAAAAACTGCGATACAGTTACCACAAACGTGCACTCACACACCTTGCTGCAAAGACATCTGTAACTGGCTGAATGTTGCTTAATATGATGTGTGTGAATATTATAGCTGAGCCTGCCTTTGCTGCTAAAACTACGTGTATACGAAAGACTGCTTCAGATGTAATATTGTGATTGATTTCTGCCAGCTTGACCTCCACTGTGTGCTTGATATAAGAGAGGACTATTAAATTTTTCTGATAAGATAAGACAAATATTAGATTAATTGTGGTATATATGTTAGAAAATGGTCAATCTCATCTTATCTCGGATCTCCCGGGTGTGGGGGTGTTGTTGAATGGTTTTATTGTTAGTATTACTGTAATTGGTTCAGGGGAGCACAGGATCCGCTGTCTGTTGCTGTAGTTTATTGATTGCAGCTATTTGTTGTGGCTGTTGATTCCAAGAACACAAATTGTTTGTAAAGCATCAATTGCATAGTCTGAATACTTGAATATTTCTCCTCTTCAACTATTTTATTTTTATGGAGGAACTGAACAGAAAATAAAGATTAGCATCACAGATGATCAAAGTCTATCTAGAAACTGTGTCGAAATTCTGCATCGAAAAACTTGTCTGCAGTAAAAAAGAAGAAAGTATCAGCATAAAATGAGAATAAACTTATGTGCACCCAAAAACAGAAAATTACTTCCTCTGGTCCACTTTAATTGCTTTTTTGGTTTTTTTTGTGGTCTATAATATTTGATTTTCTTAGATATCAGGAAAGAATTAATTTTTTTTTTCTTTCAAAGTTGCCCTTAGAATAAAGAGTCTTGAAGTATTTATTATATTTTTAATGAATAAATTAAAGTTATTATGGTTAATTTTATTGTTAGTTAATGCTAAAAGATGAATTCCTTAATATGGGTAAAATCAACCAAAAAATAATTAAAGTGAACCGGAGGGGATACGTCAACTAAAAGAAGAAAACAGATAAGAAATTAGTCGATAAAAGAATTAAACATATTCACTTCAGCAGATGCACAAAAATCGTAGCTTAATCGCTGAAATACCACCACTGAAAAAGGACAAAGACAACAACATTAATAAAGTATTATCTCACAACGTAGAATCTGGGGAGGGTAATGTATACGCTGATCTTATCTCTATCTTGTGAGGATAGAGAGTCTGTTTCCAATAGACATTCGACTCAGAAAAATATAAACATAATATTAATGAAAATATAGACAAAAAAGGACAGTACCAAATAAATTCAATATTTGTCCACAACATAAAAAAGTATTTAAAAGAGCTAACGGGAAACCTTCTCGAAAGAAAATGGTATTCTCGCGATCCTTCGTCAAATTATTTTGGGATACTCCTTTTTATTTTGGGATGTTTCAAAGAAAGAAACGACATTATGAAATAATGTAACTATAAATAACTTTCACATATTTAAAATTAAAATTTACTCAACTATCAAAATTATAAATTATGATAAAATAAAACTTCCCACTTTGGAAGGGAAATGATCATTATTCTCTGGTCAACAAAAAAGCTATCACGTCGTAAATAGAGGATTTGTGATTTTTTAAAGTCGAATTAACTTTTTAATAACTAATCTTAGAGTACGTGCGTTGCGCGTGTATTTCATATCAATAAATTCAAATTTTAGAAAAATTACATTGATATTATTCACAAAAGTTCTGAATGATAAAAAAAATTAAAAATCCAAATTCCTGAGAAAAATCTTGAACGTTAATCACATTTATCTAACTCAATAAAAGAATGTCTTTTATTTAGACTTTTGTTAGGTATAGATATAGGTTCTCACGCCATCCTTTCTAGGTATATTTGATCATTATCATGATAAAGAGACTATAAATGCTAATAAATATCGTTATTCTCTTTAGCTCAATAATAATGGGTAATATCAGTTAACCACATTTTTAGTGGGATGTTTAATAATCAATTCCTTAATATATATATATAAAGGAAAAAATAAACATTTTAAAATTATATAGGAGGGAAAAAATAAACATTTTAGAATCACAACGTTATGTGATTAAAGCTATAAAACTCACTTTAAAATACAATATTATTTACTATTATTTGTGAAGTGATAATTTACTTCAGTTAAGCCTTGAGGTATACGGAAGTCTAACATGTTAAGCGTTCGACTTTAGTTCACGCCTTCTGTGGCCCTTCTTTTTTCTTTTTGCGTTCGACGTTATTTTGCTTCAATTATTATATATTCTTATATCACAAACACATTTGTTTTAATATACAGAATATAAAGTTATGGCTATGAAATATCTTGTGTCAAATACTATAAAATGCGTATTGAAATAATAAAATTTTTATTACGATAAGTATTTAAAGTCACTTGTTATTAAATATGTATGAAGTTCAATAATCCTTAAAAAATTAATAGTATATATTATCGAAACCAAGTCATTAAAAAAATTTGGACACAATCCAAAGACAAAATGGAACTGAAGATTTTGAGAGTTATGTTAAAAAATTTAAAATCACTTCGAGAATGCAACAAACACTTAGGGAGAAAGTATATTCAAAATTTATGATTATGCTATGTAATAAATTAACTTTGATAACCTGACGGGTAAACATTGCTATTTGTGGTGATTTTAGGTTCTGCAGAGAAGAACTGAAATATGTCTACGTTTGTCTAATAGTTATAGTACAAAACTATAGAAATTGAATATATAATTTGATTTTCGTTCAAACAATGAATGGACGAACACGTTTCCTTTACGAATTGGACTCTAAGAATGGTATCTTGACTTGGACTCTATAATATTTGGATTGCTTTTACGTTTTTAGGCATAAATGTTTAAGATATAATTTAATTATGAAAGGGCATAATAGGCGTCTAATATTTTAAGGATATTTTTGTCGTTCAATATTTAGTGTAGAACATTCGTGCTTTTATAATAATAGTCTCTATGTTCGTGCATCTTGTGTCAAATATTAAAAAATGTGTATCAAAAGTAATGAATTTTCACTTACATATATATTCTAAAACTATTTTTTACTAAATATGTGTGAATTTCATAATCGATTAAAAAAAGAAGAAGAATATATATAAGTCATTCAATATTTGAATTAAAAGGATACATATTTGGGGGAAAAGGAACTAATGGCCTAATCATAATAATTTACTCATATTTTTGTTTAATCCAATATAAATTTATAGACTATTTGTTATAAAAAAATAGAAAATAAAATTATAATTTAAGACTACCTCTTGATTTTGAAGCCATACGTCTGGGGAAAAAGGATCTAATGGCCTAAACATAATAATTTACTCATATTCTTGTTTAATCCTACATAAATTTATAGAATACTAGTTTTAGTGTACGTGAGTTGCACGTGGATATTGCATCAATTAATAAAAATAGAAACATATATATTGAAAAATAACAATTTTGATTAATATAAATGCAAATATTTGTTTAAATGATAAAAAAATCCTATTTTATTAACATATACAGTAGCTAAACTCAATATCTTCTGAACATGATGATGAATTAAACTAAATTAGTTGTATTAGTAATACATGACATATAAAGCCTTTTTGAAATTACCGTAAAAGAAATAAATAAATGACTTTCAACTTAATTCTAATTTATGAAGATAAAGTTTCCATTTTTTTTGGAAATAGATCAGATATTAATATGTCATGATTCTAAAATAAATGTTTTATGTATAAAAATGATGTTAAGATATTTTTGACAAACTATTTGATTTTTTTCAAGTATTGGAAAGAGATGGATAAAAATTAGAAACATGCTCTATTTTTTTTATCCTTCTTTTTTCACGTCAATTCTGATTCTTTATTTTTTCTTTAATCTTTGGTATTTATAGATCTGTTTTCAATATGGTGATGATGTTTTTTTTTTTTTTTTT